TGTCCCTTCTTTTTATTTTTGAAACTGTTAATCAAACCTAAAGGCTCTGTAAACACTGCATTTGAACCTCTGCACATTTCTGGGCTTTGAGGGGAGATTTTTTGATGTTTTGGCATGTGGGTTTTGGGGGGTTTGTTGCTTTTTTAGCAAGAAATAAACCTTTTGATTTTTTTTTTTATATCCATGTCCCCTCTCTGTTTTTTTTCTTATCATTTAAATATTTATGTGCAAGGATTTTTCTCCTACAGAGCAGAAACATCTGGTTTTGTCAAATAGCAAATAAAATATTTTTTGCCAGTTCTTCCGTTTGGATAGCTTCTAATCCAAAATATAAAATGGTGGCCAAGTTTTGATGTTTCTATGGCTTACAATGGATTGAAAGAGTAGAATCAGTCCTCTTATGTTTTTCAAAAGACCAGGGGATGAGAAGTACCCTTTAATCTTTTTACTCATTCAATTTGAATTGCTTTTATATCTCTGGGTGCCTAGGAAAAATGAGACTGTTGGTGAGTGTAGGGAATGCTGTGAAGGACATAAGGACTGTGGTGGTTCCTGGGTTTCATCTGCAAGTTTCTGCCAGAAACGTGGTGGAGAGGAGCAAGAGAGTGGAGGATGTTCATCGTGCCCACCTCTCACATGCTGTTTTGCCAAAGGATGCAGAAGGCAAATGCCAAAGTAAACATACAGGGTGAGCCCCTGTACTTGGCCCACGAATTTTCACTGTACTGGGTGTTTCTGATGAGAAGACTGGCCACAGTAACCAAAGTGTCTTTGGGGGGCTGGGAACAGGAGGCAGGAGCAATATTCAAATAACATTTCTTGAGGCAGACGTTACAATAAATGCAAGTTTGAGTTTAAGCAGCATTTGAAACGCAGTGAATTGACTGTTTTCATTTTCAGAGGGACTTCTTTTCCATATACAAGGCCACATTATTATTAAACTGTGGGAAGGCATGAATAGGGGGAAATAGGCATCTAATTGTCTTTGTGTGTGCTTGAACAGGGAGCCACCCTTGGAGGGAGGTCCAATTAGCTGTTCATGTTTTGCTTTGAAAGGAGGGGCTGGCTGCACGTTTCCATGTATGTTGGGATCTCAGTAACTACTGGGAAGGGAAGTGCAAGGAGAAGGGTGTGTGCCCTGGGTGCTGCCAGGACTGTGGGAGGGGGAGGTAAAAGGGGATACCAGAGCTGAAATATTCCTGCAACTCTTCTTTCCCAGCATCCCTGGAGTGTAGGCTTGAGGCCAAGTGGAGAGGGAGGGGGCATGGGGGGAGAGCTCACAGCTGGGATAGAGAGGGGCTGCACTGAAGTGCTGAAGAGTTGAAACTGCTCATTCCTCCTCCTCTTCTAACCAACACAGGATGGAGAAGGCAGAAAGCAAATTTCTTGTGTTAAATTTCTGCCATTTTGGTTGTGACCCCAGACCTCATTAATTCCCAAGCTGTCTAAGCGTGAAACAAAATCAAGTTAATGAATTTTGAATCCTGCATCAAATGAATTGGATGCAGTCTGGTGTTAATAAGCAGCCTAAATGCTTCTCATCCACACCGTGGTACCAAGGAGGGAGTTCTCTTGTCGGTGGTAGGAACAAGATTTGTGGTACTGAGCCTGATCCAGTGCCTCCTTCACTCCCCTGAATTAATCCCAGTGTCAGGTGCTTTGTTGAATGCTGGAGAGCCCGTGGCTTCACAGGCAACAGACTAGATCTGTTGGAGTAGCTTGTATCTAGATCTTTAGTAGTTAAAGCTTCCTTAAGACATGGACATGAGTTTTTATGTTCTTTCCATGAAATCTGATGATCTGGGATTTGTCCTTCACCTTCTTAATCTTCCTCATCCCTTGGCACCAGCAATTTCCTTTGGCAACAGCCTGTGCTTCTGTTCCTTGTTCTGTGAGAACCATTGCCTTTATCACTATTAATTTCTTTAAAAAATACATATTTCATTTTTTATTTGAGTGCATTAGACTGTAGAGTCCTAGCACTGTGGAGCCCATGATCTGAGACATAGTCCACTTCTGGCCAACATGCTTCAACACTGGCCATTACATCCTGAAAACTGGTGTTGGATCAAACCAGTGAGTCCTTGCAGTTCACCACATGGTCTTTCTTAGGTGCCTTTTAAAATCTTTGTCAGATATGTATGGTGTATGTAGGGATGCAACAAGGAAGGCCAAGACCCCCTTGGAATTAAAGCTGGCCAAGGAAGTAAAAGACAAGAAGGGCTTCTTCAAGTATGTCAGTAGGAAAAGGAAAACTGGGTAAAATGTGAGCCCACTGCTGAATGAGATGGGAGTTCTGGTGACAAAGGATATGTCTTCAAGTATGTCAGTAGGAAAAGGAAGACTGGGTAAAACGTGAGCCCACTGCTGAATGAGAGGGGAGTTCTGGTGACAAAGGATATGGAGAAGCAGAGTTACTTCAAAAAAAAAAGCCTTCTTTGCTTCAGTTTTTACCTCTAAGACCAGCCCTCAGGAATCCCAGTCCCTGGAGGGAAGAGAGAAAGTCTGGAGGAAGGAAAACTCTCCAGTAGTAGGTGAGAGTTGGGTTAGGGAAACCTGTTTAGGCAAACTGAACATTCACATGTTCATCAGGGCCACCCAAGAGTGCTGAGGGAGATGGCTGATGTTGTTGCTGTGCCACTCTCCATCATTTTTGAAAGATTATGGAGAACAGGAGAGGTGCCTGAGAACTGGAGGGAAGTCAATGTCACTCCATCCTTCAAAAAGGGCAAGAAGGGGGACCCAAGAAATGACAGGCCAGTCACTCTTACCTCCTGTTGCAGAGGCACCCACAAAACAAGACAGCAGCCGCTATCACAAAACAGGGGCTTGTTGCAACCCAAGTTGCCCAGCACTGACAAAAATCAAACAAGTCTGGGTGTAGTTGGGAGTACATCTGCTACACAACTGATTTAAGGAATTAAAGAGTGCCCAAGATATCACTCACATGAAGGGGGAGCCAGGCTCACTCAATTCAAGGAGGCTCAAGCCATGGCAGTATCCTTGGACAGAGTGTCCAAGGGGAGGGTCCAACTGCCAAGCCTGCAACTTTGTGAAGAAACAGCTCAACAGGTTCTTAGGTGGTGCCCCATTTATACCCTAGTCAAGGGTGAGCTGTGGTCATTCTCATTGGCTGAGGAGTAAGCCCAGACAGAAGCAAGCTGTGGGGTGGGGATGGGGGGTCCAGACCCTCAGGTGCCAGATAACAGGTGTAGTTAAGGGAACTGTTCTATCAGCCCTGGTTGTCTTTGTCTGTTGGTGGAGGGGGTTTGCAGTTGCCATATCTCCATTCCTGGAAAGGTGATGGAACAGCTTATGCTGGAGGTCATCTCCAGTACAGGTTGGGGGCTGATCTACTGGGAAGCAGCCCCACAGAGAAGGACCTTGGAGTCCTGGTGGACAAGTTGACCAGGAGCCAGCAATGTGCCCTTGTGGCCAAGAAGGCCAATGGGATCCTGGGGTGCATTAAGACGTGTGGCCAGCAGGCTGGGGGAGTTTGTCCGACCCCTTTACTCTGCCCTGGTGAGGCCCCATCTGGAGTACTCTGTCCAGTTCTGGGGTCCCCAGCGCAAGGGAGGCTGGGAACTACTGGAGAGAGTCCAGTGGAGGGCTGTGAGGATGATGAAGGGACTGGAGCATCTCTCTTATTAGGAAAGTCTGAGACATGTGGGGCTGTTTAGCCTGGAGAAGAGAAGGCTGAGAGGAGATCTCAGTGATGTTTGTGAACACCTGAAGGGTGGGTGTCAAAAGAATGGGGTCGGTCTCTTTTCACTGATGCCCAACAGTAGGACAAGAGCCAATGGACACAAACTGGAACACAGGAAGTTGCACCTCCGCATCTCTCTTATTAGGAAAGTCTGAGACATGTGGGGCTGTTTAGCCTGGAGAAGAGAAGGCTGAGAGGAGATCTCAGTGATGTTTGTGAACACCTGAAGGGTGGGTGTCAAAAGAATGGGGTCGGTCTCTTTTCACTGATGCCCAACAGTAGGACAAGAGCCAATGGACACAAACTGGAACACAGGAAGTTGCACCTCCACATAAGGAAAACCTTCTTGACTTTGAGGGTGATGGAGCTCTGGAACGAATGGGGTCGGTCTCTTTTCACTGATGGCTCTTGTCCTACTGTTGGGCAATGCACACAAACTGGAACACAGGACGTTGCACCTCAACATAAGGAAAACCTTCTTGACTTTGAGGGTGTTGGAGCTCTGGAACAGGCTGCCCAGAGAGGCTGTGGGGGCTCCCTCTCTGTAGACCTTCAAAACACACCCACTGCTTTGGCAGGGGAGATGGACTAGATGATCCCCAGAGGTCCCTTACCCCCACCATTCTGTTATTCTGTGATATAGATTTTAATTGAAAAGATCTATGTAGACAGCCCATGCTTTTGCACACCTGCATATAGCTCTTAAGGTATCAGAGGTCCTCCCTCTGCTAGCTTGTTTCAGACTCCTGAGAAATTCTTCATTGTGTTTTCTGTGGGTTTTGTGGTCTTGTTGGAACTCCTGCTGATCTGTAGCACGTTGGCCAAATTGAACCAACTTCTGACATTTGTGGAGAGGCATTCAGCATACTCTGCTGTGACTCCTTGTGCCAGTGACAGGATGCTCTGAAGAGCAGGGGTCGGGCTACGTGGTGAATGTGCCCCATGGCTGCAGAAAGCTCAAGTTTTAAATAATTGGATTGGGGTGGGAATATTGAGATGATTTTGCTTTTTACATCCCTAGTGAATATTTTTTAAACTGCTGCTGAAGAGAAGTGTCAGAAGCCTGGTTCATCATTGTGGTCATAGCTCACTGGTAATATATTCAAAGCATGTTAACATTTTGAAGCATTTTGGTGGTATAGACTGACATGAGGGCACATCTAATATGTGCTTGAGAGCACATGCAGGATATTGCTGCCTTTACAGGGCTAAAGATGCACACATTTTATTTTTCCTTGCCCCTTAGGCTTTGTCCAACACGGATTCTCCTCCTGACGGTGAGCTGGACCCTGCAATGAAACACGACTTTGCTTTTGACAACATGGGCTACGAGGACAGCTTTGAAACCACGCCCCCTCCACCTCCCCAGGAGCACACCCTGGCACTCAGCATCGTGGGGATGACCTGCCAGTCGTGTGCACAGGCCATAGAAGGCCGAGTTTCCAAGGTGAAGGGTGTTGTGAGCATCAAAGTCTCCCTTGAACAGAACAGCGCTGTGATTAAGTATCTGCAGTCGGAGATAAGCCCTGAACAGATTCGCCAGGAAATTCAGGCTATGGGCTTTGATGCCAGCGTGGCAGAAGAGAGGCTGATGACAGCACCCATCAATCTGTCATGCTTGAGAGAAGCAGTGGTTAAGCTCCGTGTGGAAGGCATGACATGCCAGTCCTGTGCCACCACCATCGAAGGGAAGATGAGGAAACTGCGTGGCGTGGCAAAGATCAAGGTGTCACTTGCCAACCAGGAAGCAGTTGTTGTTTACCACCCTTACATCATCCAGCCTTATGACCTCAGGAGCCATATTGGTAACCTGGGGTACGACTGCTCCATTAGAACTAAACCTGCCCCTCTGAAGCTGAGCGCCCCGGGTCTCCAGCACCTGCAGAATGCAGACCCCAAGGAGACACCAGCACGTCTGGGGAGTGAGGGTGTGGGTCCACTGATGGCTGAGATGAGCAGCACAGCTACGGTGGCTCTGCAGATAGAAGGCATGCACTGCAAGTCCTGTGTCAAAAACATCGAAGGAAATATATCAGATCTTCCTGGCATACAAAGTATTGAGGTGTCTTTGGAGCATAAACGTGCTGTGGTGAAGTATAGTCCAGATTTAATTACCTTGCCAGCTTTGCAGCAAGCTATTGAATCCCTTCCACCTGGGAACTTTAAAGTATGCCTCCTTAATGGTTCAGAAGCAAATAAAGGAGCATCTCCTTCACCTGCTTTGCAACAGAGTCTCCTGAGAGAGCCACTGCCAGACATGGTTTGTACAGCTGTTATTCAGATTGATGGCATGACCTGCAATTCTTGTGTACAGTCCATAGAAGGGAGCATATCACAGAGACAAGGAGTGCAACAGGTATCAGTTTCTCTGGCTGGCAGGACTGGGACCATACATTATGATCCTGCTGTTACCAATGGAGAAGAGTTAAGAGCTGCCATAGAAGACATGGGGTTTGATGCTTCTCTGCTGACAGGTAACAGTGTTTTTTCTTCTGTGGGTAGCATGCCAAGCTCAGCCATGTGACACCTGAGTTGAGACTCTCTTCTGGAGAGAAACTCTTAAAACATCACATCTGTATTGTCTTTTCTAAGGGCCTGGCCTGATCTGAGCTTGCTTAGCAAGGGAGGCAGATTTCAGCTGTGAAGCACTTTATTTTAGCCCTTAATAACTGCACTAGTGAGTGGAAGAGTTGAGTTGTGTTACAAAGCCAAAAGGTCTGGGAGTTGGTACAAGGTTTTTCAGACAGCCTGTTCCCTTACCCACTGAAGTAGATTTCCTCCTGTAAGCAGAGCTATCAAAACAAATGTTTTCATTTATGTTCCAAAACACTAAACCACACAAACTTAATGAAATCTCTTTAATTTAAAGCTGCTTTTTACCCAGCAAAAATATCTTTTTAGTGTCCTAATCCTTTGATCTTTATTTCTTGAGTATTTTTGCTAGCCCTAATATACTAAGCCTTACTTTAAGCGAGGTGAGGGGCAGGATGCAGGTCCTCTCTGGTGGGAACAGATGCTTCTACCTGTCAGCTGCAGCACAGTTTGTACATTTTGTATGTGTGCCCAGTGTTCAAGAAGTTCCCGTGGTGCACAATCTCCTCTCTAGCAAATTTCAAATGTCATGCTATTTATCTGCTTCAACTCAACAGATTTGCTTTGAGATGGTGATGTAGTTTACCTGGAATGAATGAGTTTGATCACAATAAACCACATCGTGTTTGGTTTTCTCATGGGTCAAATCTCTCTGAATCTCTGGAACTGCTGCTGCTGAGGAGGGTCTCATATGTGGTGTTTAATTATGATATATTTGATTTATAATTTGTTTGTGGGAGACCTTGTTTTCCATGTGTGGAAGAGTAGGGGGTCTCCTGTGTTTAACATGTTCAGAAGCAACTCTTGCTCTTTTACACAAACCTCTGCCCAAGGGAGGAAGTGTATGAATGCAGCTGGAACTGTGCAGTGCCTTTTCAGTGTCTGTAAAAACCAGAAATGATTGTAACAGGCCTGTATGTGTGGAGGTCTTCTGGGTGCTACAAATCCTTCCACTACTCATTTTGCAGTACCTGCAATGTAAATATTGTGCCATGAAGAGAAACCTGTTGAGAAACGTGTCCTTTTCCTTGTCTGAGATGAAGTGCCATGAGTCCTGCACAGATGACAAGGACAGGATGGATATGACTGGACTCCATTCTCTGTGCTGGATAAGGACCCTCTAGATACCAATATATCTTTATAGAGTGGAGGTAGCTGTGAAGTCTAGGCATTGAAATAGGAGGGAATCATTTGCCATCTGAAAGTGGAAAACCAGTTCTGTAGAGTTAAATGGGCACGCAAGCAGCACTGGTGAGTGTGTGTTGTTATCTGGGTACTAACAATCCAGATTATTTCCATGAAGAGACAAAGACTACCATGTCACCTTTCAAACAACTCAGAGACTTTAATCATAGAATCATAGAATCCTTTAGGTTGGAAGGGACCTCCAAGATCATCAAGTCCAACCATTGAGCCATTAGGGCTCTAAAGTCCTCTGCTAAAACAGATCAGAATCTGTCAGGGTTGGAAGGGACCCCAAGGATCCCCCAGTTCCAACCCCTCTGCCATGAGCAGGGACACCTCCCACTAGATCAGGCTGCCCAGAGCCTCCTCCAGCCGTGCCTTAAAGACCCCCAGGGATGGGGCCTCAACCGCCTCCCTGGGCAACCCATCCCAGGGTCTCACCACTCTCCTGGGGAAGAACTTCTTCCTCACATCCAGCCTGAATCTGCCCACTGCCAGCTTTGCCCCATTCCCCCTAGTTCTGTTGTTACTTGATATCCTAAAAAGTCCCTCCCCAGCTTTCTTGTAGCCCCCCTAAGATACTGGAAGGCCACAAGAAGGTCCCCTGGGAGCCTTCTCTTCTCCAGACTGAACAGCCCCAACTCTCTCAGTCTGTCCTCACAGCAGAGCTGCTCCAGCCCTCGGATCGTTCTCGTGGCTCTTCTCTGGGCACGCTCCAGCAGGTCTACATCCCTTTTGTAATGGGGGCTCCAGAACTGGATGCAGTGCTCCAGGTGCATGATTGATAAATGTGACCTGCTTGTAGTTTTATGCCATCGGGTGGCAGTGTCAATGGTGTTTGCTCAGTTTATTGTGCATTTATCCAAGATACCGCCGCGGGAGGACGTGGGCAGCAGCCTGATGCCAGCAATGCTGCCCAGCAGTCTCCAGCTCCAGAGCCTCCTCGCCAAGGCCATGCCTCAGCTGCTCCTCCAGACAGTCCTCACCCTGATGGGTCACACCAGCCCAGCGAGGCGACAGTTGGAAAGTGTTTTTTACAAATCACAGGCATGACCTGTGCGTCGTGTGTGTCTACCATCGAAAGGAATTTGCAGAAAGAAGAGGGTGAGAAATTTAAGATTCTTATAATGAGTTTCTATGGGCTATGGGATGGAAAAGACATTCAGTGAGTGGAATATTCCATTCCAAGATAATGGAAGAGGCTGTGGTGCAACATCTGGAGGTAAAGGGACTTAGTGGTCTTCCTTAGTGCTAATGTAACTGCATCACTGTTGAACTATCCCACTGCACTGTCTGACAAACCCAAAGGACATCCTTGTAACAGCAAGTTGTTGTAATGTCATCAAAACTTCAAACAAGGCTCACGACAGGAACAGTCCTCGTTTAGTTTGTAGGGCCTTATTGCTTTAAAGAGCAATCCATCTTTTCCAAAGCTGTTGAGAATTCTGACATGCTTGTGAGGGGAAACTTACCCTTCATAGCATATTTGCACAGGCAGGTACAAACAAATGCCTGGCTCCAGTGCCTGGGTAATTACAGGCACAGCAAAGCTTATAGGTTAGAACCCTGCAGGCTGGAGCTGCCTTTCCTCTGGCCATGCAGAAGATGAACAGATGAGCATCAGCAATGTCTGATTTAGCCTGTGTAGTTATGCCTGGGTTTTGGTTATTGATCCCTGCACCCTCTGTCTCACAGTGATGGTCTCACTGCCCTGATTTAAAAATCCAAGAAAATGTTAGCACTTCAGAACAATCTTTTTGCCTCGTATTTTTATGTTTTGCTTTTCAATTCTAAATGTAGGCTTCTGGGATTTTGTTTGTTTTTAAAAAGAAGAAAAAAGAAAGGGAAAAACAAGGGAAGGAAAAGGTGTAGTATTGTGCTGTGAGGTTTGTTTAGGGCTTTTCAAACGTAGAGACTCCAAGGTAGAGCTTGCAGCAACGAGTGCAAAGATTGCTTCTGAACATCCTTTTTGTCTCATCAGATGAGAGCAAGACTCACCTCCGTCCCTGTGTAACTCTGGGGGTTCCTCTCATTGCTAAAGGGAATCTCAGTGTGGCTGGATCTCAGTAAAAACTTTGCTGTTGTGACTGGGGAACAACACTAGGAGAAGGCAGAGAGGAATCATCAGGCTTGTGACATCTCCAAGATGTTACAGCTCTCACTGACAATCACCTGTAATATTTTATTTTTCTTCTCCTCAAAGGAGCTACATTCAACGAGTGCAAAGATTGCTTCTGAACATCCTTTTTGTCTCATCAGATGAGAGCAAGACTCACCTCCGTCCCTGTGTAACTCTGGGGGTTCCTCTCATTGCTAAAGGGAATCTCAGTGTGGCTGGATCTCAGTAAAAACTTTGCTGTTGTGACTGGGGAACAACACTAGGAGAAGGCAGAGAGGAATCATCAGGCTTATGACACCTCCAAGCTACATTATCTAATATCTTTATTATTGCCACTGCAGGAATTGTTTCAGTGTTGGTAGCACTGATGGCAGGTAAAGCAGAGATAAAATACAAGCCTGAAATCATACAGCCTCTTGAAATAGCACAGCTGATCCAGAATTTGGGGTTTGAAGCTACCGTCTTGGAAGATCATGCAGAAACAGAAGGAAGCGTGGAGCTTCTTGTAAGTCATATGTATTTGAAATTCTGTGTTGGTTTTGGAAAAGTCAGATCTGGAAGAATCATTGTGCAGATGTTTGAGGACTTGACTCCTTTAAGTTTAAGGATTTAAACTCCTTTTGTTTAAGGAGTTGTGGCTTCAGTGGGTCCATTCTGGCTGCTGACACTTTTTTTCTCCCTAATTGCTGAGAAGACAAAATCAATTTGTCTTAGGAGAAGCCATCCAAAGGCTTTGAAATAATAAGTGGTAGTTGTATATGCGTAACAGACTTTTCCTAGCAAGTAGAGGTGAAACAGAACTTTTCTGTGAAGGCACTTTAGTCAATAGTACAGACTCTGAGCAACTCAGGATGTATCACCACATACATGTTGATAATGCCTGGGGTTTTGCATAGAGATCTAAGAACTTTGGGTAAAATTGGTAAATTCTTTATGTGAAGGACAGATTCCTCAATAGTCTGTTTTATTCCCTGACATATACCTACTCCAAGAGAGGTAACAACAATCTGCAGTTGGGCTCATAGCCCAGAAAGTGGAAACATGCCTTATTGAAGCCACAGGGAAATTTAAGTAAGCAAGATGAAGTTAGACATGCAGAGTTTGACTTTGACAGTGTTAATACAGCTGCTGATAGAATTATCTCAGCTATAGTATTACAGTTAATACAACATATGAGTGCTGCTGTACAAATGCATAGCTGTGGCTATAGCTGCTGGTTGCAGATTTTTCTAATCAAAGTAGCTGCTGAAGTTCTCAGCTTTGCATCCTGTGAGAGAGCTCTATAAAATCTGCATGCTAAAAACCTTGGGTTGGCACCAGCAGAGCTGGAATAGTCATTAGCCCCTCTGTGGCACAGTGGAGCCTTCTCTCAAACTCATCCACAAACACTGGGTGAATGTGGGGGATGGCTAACTGCACCTACATTTTTCTTTAGATTACAGGGATGACCTGTGCTTCTTGTGTTCACAATATTGAATCCAAACTCATGAGGACAAATGGCATATTCTACGCTTCAGTGGCACTTGCTACTTGCAAAGCCCACGTCCAATTTGATCCTGAAATTACCGGACCGCGAGATATTATAAAAATAATTGAGGTAGGCTTTAGAAATACTTTATGTATTAGTAATTATAAGATGATGTTGAAAAGGATATTTGAGAGGTTTTGCTGACTTTTGCAGATGATGTAGTTATTGCCATGTGTTTTTATGTTCTTGTGGTGCAGCACATTACTGTGCCCCACTGTAATGCATAGTCTCCCAGGGTGTTGCTCTAGAAACACACCCCAAAGCTACAAAAAGAGAAATTTTTTTATCTCTATCTGATAAAAGTGTCATATATTAATTCTTTACAGTTCTATGTGTAGAATAACATGTCTCTGATTTCCAGTTATTTCAGTAAAGTGTTGGTACTTCAGAAAAAAAACCCTACATTTCTCTTGCCAGTGAAAAAAGCTGTAAAAGAAGTTTTGCAAGAGCTCATAGCACAAGTATTACACATCTCTGTATACACTGGCATTTATTCCCACATGATTTCAGAGAACTTTTTAAACCAAAAGGGCTTGTGATACAGCCACTTAAGGAAAATGATCCTGGTTTACCAGTAACCACACAGATCATGAAATCTGCCGTTATCATGGCTCATAAGGGGACAAAACCTTTTCCTTCTCTGCCCCACCAGAAGGGAGAGAAGCTACTGCAGTAACTCATTGAAGCATCAGTCAGAATTGGCTTTTTGCTATATTTATTTTGGGGATGCTTTTCCCTGCAGTTTGTTGATTTACAGGCTTAAACTTATTCTGGCCACTTGGATTTTCAACTTCAAGTTTATCTCCTCAACTGCAATGTTAAGGAGATGCTCTCAAGGCTGAACAGCCCTGTGGTTTGTACTTTTTTTGCCTTCCTTTGTGATGTTTCCCATGTCTCATACTTACTCCAGTGGAGATGAAAGGGCATAAGTTTCCTTCGAGGAGGAGGACAGCAGAACTCCAGCTGTCAGTAGGAGATTCCTGTGCCTAAGAAACCTGGGACACTTAATGCATCCATACACTGTGTCCATGTAGCTGTAGCAAAAAAATCCTTTGCAACCCATATTTTGAGTACTGTCTGAAATATCTTCTCATGTTGGCAGGATCTAAAAATAAAAAGTTGTCCTTTGTTAAATACAACACAGTGCCCTTTTCTGACACTTCTTCTAAAAGTAGTGCCATTTAAACATAAGTAACATGGTTAGTTTAATCAAAACTAACTCATCTCTCCTGCCCTTTCAATAAAAAGGAAATTGGCTTTCATGCTTCTGTGGCTAGAAGAGCTCCAAATGCACATAACCTGGATCACAAAAAGGAAATCCAGCAGTAAGTATTTCCCTTTCACTAAGGAATGTGGATAGATCATCTCTTGTAACTCCCCTTCCCTCCCCTTCCCAGTTCATTTAGCTTATCCTAACGTAGAGCATATTTAATTTTATGACTTGCCATTTGGTTCAAGTACTTTTATGACTTTCATCAGTTTCAGTTTGTAACTGATGGAAACCTATACAGTTAAACATGTACGAGGCACTGGAACTGTCCCCACGTGCCGAATCTTTGCCAAATGTCCCCAAGCTGTGTGTTGGTGCAGTGCTGATGCCCCAAGCTCTGCTCTGCAGGCACACTGTCTGGCCTGGGTGCTGTGGGATGTACAACGAGCAGGGATTTGCACCTTCTGCTTTCCAGGTGGAGGAAATCTTTCTTGTGCAGCCTGCTGTTTGGTATCCCCGTGTTAATCCTGATGATCTATATGCTGATACCCGATGGTGGGCACCATGGCTCTATGGTGCTGGAACAAAACCTCATTCCTGGGTTATCTATTTTAAATCTTCTCTTCTTCATCCTGTGCACTTTTGTTCAGGTAAGTCTGCAGTATTTCCTAGGGGTTTGCTTTCCATTCATGGCCCATTTATGTAATCTGATGTGACAAAGACAGGAGACTGGGTTGGTGGATTAGGCCTGCCCTCTTGTCTGAGCCACCTACGCAGGGTGAAGTGGCTCTTTTCTGCAGGTTATCCATTCTGGAATTGTTCACAGCCCTTACTCCTACTACAGTTGCATGGGATAGTTTTCCAAGGGGGGAAGGTAGTGTCAAAATGAAGAAATACCCGATCGGCTGCAAACTGATTAGATAGGAATAAGAAAATCCCTTCAACTTCTGTGCCTTGTTCGCTTTGCATTGCTGAGGAAAAGGATGATATTTAGCTGGCAGAGTTTTTTTGAGGACAAGGAAAGGGAAGTGAGAGGATGACAGTGGAGTCAGCCTCCTGGTAGACCACTCCACTGAAGTTACATCAATGTAAAACTTGCATGGGACGGCGAATGCCTTCCCTTCCCTACCACGTGTTTATAATTCTGCTGTAGGCAGCACTATGCACTCTCTCCTTCCACTGCTGTGGTCTCAATGTTTACGTCTGTCCCTGCTTACCCCAACAGTTTCTTGGAGGATGGTATTTTTACGTCCAAGCTTACAAATCCCTGAAGCACAAGACGGCCAACATGGACGTGCTCATCGTCCTGGCCACGACGATCGCCTACGTGTATTCCTGTGTCATCCTGCTGGTGGCCGTCATCGAGAGGGCTGAGAAAAGCCCTGTCACCTTCTTTGACACTCCACCCATGCTGTTTGTGTTCATTGCCCTTGGGAGATGGCTAGAACACATAGCAAAGGTAACTCATCTTCACACCGATTACTGTGTCTTTACGATGGGAGTAGAATAAAACTGTTCAGAGGAATTTTGAGACAGATGTTTCTGATGTTTCTGATTCAAGGTCATTTAGAGTTCCTTGTGTTAAGTGCACATCAGCATTTATGTATCTCAATATATCTTAAACATTCATCTCTGTTTCTTAGAGTAAGACCTCAGAAGCTCTTGCTAAACTTATTTCTCTTCAAGCCACAGAAGCCACTGTGGTGACTCTTGGACCTGACCACTCCATCATCAGGTACATATTCATGAACCAAAACCCCTTCAGCCTGCTTGGGTGCATGGACTAGGTTTGATGCAGTTATGTGAAAGCATTGTTATTCTTTTGAAGCTGATGGCTTCTAAATAATAGTAAATAAAAATATTTATCTAATGAACAATCTTTCTGCTCTACTTGTGTCTTTCACAGGGAGGAGCAGGTAGCTGTTGAACTGGTTCAAAGGGGTGATATCGTGAAGGTTGTTCCTGGTGGAAAGTTCCCAGTGGATGGAAAGGTCATTGAAGGCAGTTCTATGGCAGATGAGTCTCTCATTACTGGTAACTTCCCTTAACGCTACGCAAAGAAGTGAATTCTTCTAGAACTCCTTCTTTCAAGAAATGAGGGCAGACTTAACCCAAAAGCTATTGTCTGAATGAAGTCCCACCATAATAGTGGCTGTGCCTAACCTTTGCAAGCTTGAATCCAAATCCCATGTCTGCACACACCCTAAAAAGCTGAAGAATCTCTGCTCAGTTTCATCATTTATACTAACATACCGATGGGACAGGTAGAGTCTAAACACTATTGTCATTGTCCAAAGGTCTGGTGGGAGTTTCCTCTGGAATGTGTTTGTAGAGATGGGACCTTCTCAGAAGTAATTTCTAACAGGCAATGGAGAAATATTGCTAGATGTTGGGGTGTGTATGGATGGGCACCAAACAGGGCTTCTGACAGGGATCTCCTGATGGGCAAGGAGAGTGAAAGAAAGCCTCATAACCTGATGCTCATTAGGAGTCATGGGACTTCCTCACAGCTTTTGAAATTTAATTTCTCTTTGTAAATATAATAAGAATTTACTACATCATGCAGTTCTTGTAAATAAAGTAAAACTTTATTATTTATTGGCTTACTTGTTTTAGTTATGCATTTATGTTGCTTGGGGAACAGAGACACTTACTTTAAGAGAACCAGCCATTATCACTAACCCTAAAAACAGAAAACAAAGATTTATCCAAGAATATTCCTAAAGGCAGCATGAGAACAAGAGCTTTGTCACAGAGGCAACTCTTCCAGCCTTTGAAAACTGAGGGTGGTGGAAATAAAGACAGATTTCTCAAAGTCCCATGGCTGTGCAAAGTATCTGAGAAATTCCTAGAAGTTCCTTGTAAAACAAATTTCTTCCTGGCCCTTTGGAAGGATGGCATGCTGGAGAGTTAGGGCCAAGGAAACAGCATTTACTTTGAAACTAAATCTAGAAAAGGTTTATAGAAGTGTGACCCCACTTATACATGTCATCACTAGCCAGAGATAGACAATATGTGATTTCTGGTCACTGTTGCTTAGCGTGCTGGTTTTCCTAGCATTGAGTGAGCTGTGTGCCAATGGACTGTGTCCACTGTCATTAAGGGTATTGGCTCATTTTTTCTTACCTTTTCTTTTTAGGAGAAGCTATGCCAGTCACTAAAAAGCCTGGGAGCACAGTGATTGCTGGTTCTATAAATGCACATGGCTCAGTTCTTGTTAATGCAACTCATGTTGGTAACGACACCACTCTGGCACAAATTGTGAAACTGGTGGAAGAAGCTCAAATGTCAAAGGTAAAAATAATAGAAAAGAAAATCTTATTCACAGGTGTTGATTAAATACAAAAAAAAAAGATTCTGTATTTTGTTGTGTTTACTTGCTCAGCAAACTGTGTTTTTTCCAGACTTCAAAAAAGAATCAGCTAAAGACTGTTAGATATTTTCATGAACACTGCATATTTATGTGTTGACCATAAACATGCAAATACCTGTTTTTCTTTTTTATAGGCACCCATCCAGCAACTGGCAGATAGGTTTAGTGGATATTTTGTTCCATTTATCATCATCATTTCAACAGTGACATTGATAGTATGGATCACAATTGGTTTTATAAATTTTGATGTTATTCAAAAATATTTTCCTGTAAGTAATTTCATTAAGAGCTGGATTTTGGTGTTAGGGTTATCTTCCAGTGTAATTAACATAACTTCTGTCTGTAGGGTTTGATGTTGCAACCTGGCAAATCCTTTTGTACAATGCAGTGTTTTCTACACAGAGCAGATAATTGCACTAATTAAAATCTATCTGCAGGTATAAATAAACCTTTGCATTTTCTGCCTGGGGTTCCTTCAAACCAAAAGGATTGGCAGTATTCCTGGCCTAAAGATGATCTGTAGCTGCATTGCAAGGAGCCTAGCCAGGCCTAGCATGCCTGAAGTTTTTTTTTGAACATCTTTATTTCTGATGGCATAGAGTGGTTTTGGCTTTAGAACGAGGATGAGCATCTGTTATCTTCAGGATCTGTATTTGCTAGGCTCAGCAGCTGTGGGGTTTTGTGTTCCTGGAAGTAAAGTTCTCCTTTGCTAAGCTGTAAAGGAAATGCCAACAAGTTATATTGCCATCCAGAAGCCTGAGAGTAGAGTCAAGCCTAAATGTGCTTGAGTGGCAAAAAATCCAGAAAATACTGCCATAAACAATTCATAACATTGACCTTTCTCAGTGCTTACAGTACCAATAACAGATTGCTTCCTATACTGGAAGTTTCCAGGTGAATGTGCTGTTTGCAACGACTCTGATTGATTGTACATCTGTTATCTTCTATCAGCCATGAGACATCTCCTTTTTTGTTTTGTTTTTCTCCACTCTTCTTGCAGAGTCAGAACAAACACGTTTCAAAAGCTGAGCTAGTCCTGAGGTTTGCATTTCAGACCTCAATCACTGTGCTGAGCATTGCCTGCCCCTGTTCTTTAGGCTTGGCTACCCCCACAGCAGTGATGGTGGGCACGGGAGTCGCTGCCCAAAACGGCATCCTCATCAAAGGTGGAAAACCCCTGGAAATGGCACACAAGGTGAATGCTTCACTCTATTGCTGCATAGAATCATAGAATCCTTTAGGTTGGAAGGGACCTCCAAGATCATCAAGTCCAACCATTGAGCCATTAGGGCTCTAAAGTCCTCTGCTAAAACAGATCAGAATCTGTCAGGGTTGGAAGGGACCCCAAGGATCCCCCAGTTCCAACCCCTCTGCCATGAGCAGGGACGCCTCCCACTAGATCAGGCTGCCCAGAGCCTCCTCCAGCCTGGCCTTAAAAACCCCCAGGGATGGGGCCTCAACCACCTCCCTGGGCAACCCATCCCAGGGTCTCCCCACTCTCCTGGGGAAGAACTTCTTCCTCACATCCAGCCTGAATCTGCCCACTGCCAGCTTTGCCCCATTCCCCCTAGTCCTGTTGTTACTCGATATCCTAAAAAGTCCCTCCCCAGCTTTCTTGTAGCCCCCCTAAGATCCTGGAAGGCCACAATAAGGTCACCTGGGAGCCTTCTCTTCTCCAGACTGACCAGCCCCAACTCTCTCAGTCTGTCCTCACAGCAGAGCTGCTCCAGCCCTGAACTATAGTTTCTTAGGAAATCCTCCTTGTCCAGAGAAAGCCTGCAAAACGTTGGGTTTTGGTTTTCTGCTCCTGGCTGCTCATAAAGGTAAAGACAGATCTGACCTTCTTTCCTCAAAGTAGTCACAGCAAAGTGTTGAGAGCCAACAGTTCCTCCAACCTCATGCCAGGGGGGCTGCTAATATTCTGGATGACCTCAGAGCTCTCTGAGTTTTGCATTCTCTTTACCTCTTTTGCAAAAGAGCCCAATAATCCAATGTTTTCCTGCTTTTCTCATGGGGCTGTTGTGAAATATATAGCATTAGTTTAAAATGTAAGATGTAAGAGAAAACCAGAATGGTTTGAAGTTGTTTTAGTGTATAGAAAAAAGATGGGAAGCAAGAAGAGCCTTTCTAAGACAGAAAACTGCTGAACAGAGGAGGAGATTGAAGCAGGAAGATGTTTGATATGCCCACAGCTAGTGAAAAGAATATGAATTTAAGCCATGTTATGGTAGACTGGATTAGACATACACAGAGCATTTTAAATGAGAGGGATGGTAAGAATAAGTTAATCAGGCTGATAAATCTCATTCTTACTGGACATTATAAAGCACAGACCAGAATTTTTTTCAAGGCTCTGCAAAAAAAAACCCAAACCTGAAACCAAAAAAAACCCCACAAACCCAAAACTACTGCTAATTAATGTCAAGACTTTTTTTTACCTTTTGAATCTAAGCAAAGCTAGGGTCAGGGCTTGGAAAATTAGGTGACCTGCTGGATTCTGCAAGGCTGCTGGGTTGGAATAGCTGGGAATGGAAATTGTGTCTACTTTCTTGATTTATTTGGTTCTTGTGTTTCTCTGTGCTGTGTTTACTTTAAAGATTGGAATGGATTTGAGCTTTGGGTTTCAGTGTATGTTGGGTGGTGTTTTTTGGTTCATTCCTTATTCCTCAAGACCCATTGGGCTGGCTAACAAGTGATTGCTGAGTTTGGTGAATAGCATGAGGCTGGTTTGGGTTAGGTGGTTGTTTCTGGAACTTGTTGCAGCTTCTTACACTCTTCCCACCTGCTCTATCACCAAATAACTTCCCAAGTCCTCTTTCTATGCTAGTGCTGTTGTTGATGGTTTAGAACAGCATTAGTAAAAGCCCTCCTTGCATCATATACCTTATGGTAAAAGTGATGGAGGTGCCACTCAGGCATGTGAATACATACAAAGGACACACAAAGTACAAGTCCTGCAATGACTCTTGTCTGAGATCCTGGTACAGGTATAGAATGATGTAGATTCAGTGAAATCACTGTCTGAGGAATGGATAAGAAAGCATAAGGACACCTACTGTACAGACAGTTTGAGGTACCTACAGGAGTCCTTACTTTTGTAGGCTTATTCTTTCTTGGTGTGGGTATAGTCAACCAATTATTAAGGTCTTGCCTGTATTCATTTGCCTAAAGCATAGAGGCATCCCTGTGCTCACAGGGCTTGGGCAGTAACTCTGTTTTATTCCATGCAGATCAAGACTATCATGTTTGATAAAACTGGGACCATCACCTGTGGAGTTCCTAAAGTCATGAGGGTGCTTTTGCTGGGGGACACGGCTGTGCTCTCTCTGAAGAAGGTGCTGGCAGTGGTTGGCACTGCAGAAGCCAGCAGTGAGCATCCTTTAGGAGTGGCAGTCACTAAATATTGCAAAGAGGTATTTAGCCTTCCTCTCTCATCTTAGACCTGAAAGAATTTGTGAAAATGCAGCAACATTGTAGAGGCTGGGAAGCTGGGAGATTTTATGATTGTGCATGTTAGTCTGGACAGTATCAGAGAGCCTCTTCTGAGCTTTGCTCTTCTGGTAATGCTTTGGAGTTCTCAAGCAAGAGAACATAGTTTTTCCTGAACTAGTGGGAAAATAAGGAATGTAGAATATGTGCAGGAGGAATATTATGCTTAAAATAGCATCATGAAGTGACATTTCATATGTTACCTGGCTGTAGTGACCTCTATTAGTCACTTGCTTACCTGAACTAATTAGGCAAAGGGCTGTAAAACCTGAATATTAAACTGTGATATTTGTGAATTTTGCAAATGAATTAACAGATTATTCCAGCCTTTGCAAGCTGTGCAGATCTTCAAAGGTCATCTGTATATTGCATGTGTTCCTCAAATGTTTCAGGAAGAATGAAAGCACAAATAGGAACCAAAATAGGAAGCCTGGTTTAAATAATGATTTCTTTCTGCTAAGACAAGTCATTAATTGATTTATGGAAAAATTCATTGGAAAGAATATATCAAACTTACCAGTGATAGACCTTTCAGTGGTAAAATGTAGAAGTTAACATATGAATTCAGAAGGAAAAAGAGAGTATGGGCAATGGTTCTGTCACCTCTCTTGTATTTTTCTGCTTCCAAATTTGTCTTAGTGCCCTAATGCTTCTATAGTCATCCCATGCACCAGTTCTCACTGGATCCAGGCTTCCAGGAATTGCAATGCTCTACTGTTTGCTGATGTTCTTACCACCTGCCTTAGTATGCCTGGGTTGTAAGGAGGTCACTGAAAGGTACACGTTGTTCCAACTTCCAGACACAACCCAGAATAACTTGTTTATAAATTCATCTAGTCCCCATTCTTTCTGTAACTCATAGAGTCCTGGTAATCCTTTTTCTCATCTTGAAGGTACTCGCTGGCTTCTCTCTCTAACTCCACAGAAAGACACAGTTTCCTCATCATCCAGCCAGATCACTCCAGGAATTAGATGCAGTTTTCACTGTACCTTTACATATCTATAAAAGGCTTGATTCCTCACAGCCAGTGGTTTGTGAGGTTGATTAGAAGGTGCATTTTTCCCAAAGCTGCATGGCTCATTGTTACAGTATTTCTCTTTAGCTGCTAGTCTTGTCTGAGGTCATGAACCACCAGTGTAACTGCTTCCTACTTGAACTGCCATGAGAAGGTGTCCTTATGGTTTGCTGGTGCTCGGGCTGAGACCTGGATGTGATGTGTATGGCTGCCTCTTTCTAGGAGTCTACACCACACCACATCTGGAACATCCTTATTTTGAGTTCTGCACTACTGAAACCCCATGCTGCTTTTCAGTCAGTCATTCATTGTCAAGCAGAGGATGAGGCCTCTTTATGTCATAGCTGTTTTTTTAGGAGTAATCTCTGTACCTCACATGGCAGCAGAGACTGACGGTGAGCTCTGGTTACCTCTGCAGGAGCTTGGCACTCAGAGCCTGGGATACTGCACTGACTTCCAGGCAGTGCCAGGCTGTGGCATCAGCTGCAAAGTTGGAGGTGTTGAGGCTGTCCTGGGCACAGCTGAGGAGGGTCTCAGCAAGCTGGACATGAACAGAAGCAGGGACAGCAGTGCTCCCCTGGGAGATAACGCGCCGACCACGCTCTCGGAATCACACGGTACGTCTGCCCCCAAAGTCACCTCCAGTCCCCATGCAACAGTGCCAACTGCTGTGGAACAGCCCTATCCAACTAGGAAAAGCAGAGGCAGATGTATGGCAGAAGGAGGCAAAAAATATGAGAGACAAAAATGCACCTTAACAAAAATGGAAGCTCTTTCTTTCCCCTACTCTCAATCTCGCTGCGATTCAGAAACCTAAATAAGAATTTGGATGCTACAGTGATGGATACTTGAAAAGTCCATACTATACATAGGCAATAAAGTATATCCAGCCATGTTCCTTTTGGATAGAAGAATGATCCAGCAGAAAGCAAAGTTTGCCAATTAGCATTATTTTCCCATTTAGGGCAGTTTCCTTCAACATATGTTACCTTAGTGCAACATTTTATATCCTAGCCTTTAGTTCCATATTAACTTGGACTTTGCCTTTCCTGTTCATATATCTGTCAAGGTGCTTAGTATTCAAAATAATCTATTCAGGAGATGCACAATAAAGCATGTTATATCTGCAAACTGAGTTTCAGTGCCTGGTGGTTTTGTTTAGGCCAATCCATTTGGTTTTGTTTCAGGCTCTGTGGAAGCCACTTCACTCTTTTGGGGTGTAGGAGAGAAAAAATCAATATTCAAAGCCTTCCTTTATAAACTCACCAGTCCTCTTCAGAAGGCTGTGGCTCTCCTGACCACTTTGAGAAAGCTACTAGAAGCACTACATAAAATAAGCTCCTTAATAATCAGAAGCCTGGTGTTTGTGAATGGTGTTAATGTAGTATTTTCTCACCTGCTTCATATGGCTCTTGCAAAGTTGGATTGAATTCATAATGAGGTCTTCTACATACTGTTTCATTGTTAAAACAAAACTACTTTCTTCTTGCAGAAATAGCCTTTGGAAGAAGTCATCAGCTGTGAGAGCAAAGCAGCATGGTATTTATGAGAAGTGCATACTGCATTTATTCAGAAAAACGATGCCAACTGGCAAGGAGAGATACAGGGAAATACTTCACTAAATTCATGACACAGTTCTGTGTATATAGGAGCACAGACTGAGTCTTGGAAGAGAAAAGTTTTATGAGTCTTTATTCAGCCAGTACCTGTGCATTTGTGTTTGGCCATGGCAGGAACACTTCAACAACATTAATTCTGTTTGTGTCTCGGCTGCGACCATTGCCAGGCCAAAACACACACAAAATAACTTCAAAAAAACTAGAACTTCTTCAGAATATCCTTCCATAGCTAGTTCAGCCTGACGTTGTCATCCTCAAACACCTCTGGCCTATTTCTGAGTTGCTCCTTCTCCTTCTGTCTGTGCCCACAGGTCCATGTGCCTCCCACAGGTACTCGGTGCTGATTGGGAATCGGGAGTGGATGCGACGCAACGGGCTGCACATTGCAAATGATGTCAATGATGCAATGACAGACCACGAGATGAAAGGGCAGACTGCCATACTAGTGGCTATAGATGGTAAATACTGGGGTTTTTTTGGAGTGACTTAATAAATACCAGTCGATCCTACCATGAAATGGATAAAAACTAACTCTGGAGCAATCATCAGTCACTTAGTATCAAGAAACTGCTGATTTTCTAGTGCAGGACTGCTTGTGAACTGCAAAGTATCAAGGTGTTCTTAAAAGAAGCTTTCGCCTCAGAACAGTGTTTGTAAGACTTCCTTGGGTAGTTTTGCATTTAAATATTAATTTCTAAACAGCCTGTTGTCTAGGACTGCTGTTCAGAAAAGCAGTGCCACATCCCATCCTGACTTCACATCCCCTAAATCCAATCTGTCGCACCACTGGTTTCAAAACATTTCATGAGTAAACATGATAATTCATCAGGTCATTCAAACATACTAGATTAGACTAGATGAATTTTGCCAGAGGGGTTCTGTTCTGTGCTGTGCAGAAGGAGATCCCAGGCAATCCCTTAATCTGAGAAACTGCTGTCACGGGGATGGATTGCCAGCACATCTGTGGGCTTCATCTGTGAGCAGAAGTGGGACATCTGATTCAATTACTGAATAAATACCCTTGGTGCTCCTAGAGAGCAGTTCTGAGAGGCTCTTGCATGTCTCAGCCTGGCCTCCATTAGCAGTCCAGCAAACACAAGTTCTCTTACCACAGAAATAAGGGCCCTGCTGTTCAGCTGGTGTTGCTGTTGCTGCTAATGACACCAAACAGAGATACAGGGGTGCAAAACTGACTTACTTCTGTACTTTTGAGAGGTAATATGCAATGATGAAGCAATGTGAGATTTTTGTAAGCCCTGTGAGGGAAACTGAATTCACCTTTGGGTCGATGTGTTGGAAGGCAGGTGCAGTGAGAGGTAATATGCAATGATGAAGCAAGGTGAGATTTTTGTAAGTCCCATGAAGGAAAACTGAATGCATCTTTGAGTCAATGTGTTGGAAGGCAGGTGCAATGCTTCTGTAGGAAAGTAATTATAATAGTGATACAACCCTGAAAGATGAGGGGATGTAAGACCAGATATTCCATGTGCTTCCTCCTGGAGGAGTGGCTTCAACAGATGCCCTGGGCACAAATACCAAAACTTTCTCTGACCCACTCCTGTTTTGTCTGTACCATAAAACCTAGAAGGCAGGCACGTCGAGAAGGTACCCTCCTCCCATTCCTCCTGATCCCTAAATATCAAAGGTGTTTGTTGTTTGATCTGAAAGAGGTAAATGAGAAAACTCCTCTTCTATTGCTGTCCCCGTGCCTCTCACAGCTCTTTCTAACTGAGGAGGTTTCTCTGCTCAGGTGTGCTGTGTGGAATGATCGCCATCGCAGACACTGTCAAGCAGGAGGCAGCCCTGGCTGTGCACACGCTGCAAAACATGGGAATAGATGTCGTGCTGATAACAGGGGACAACAGGAAAACTGCAAAAGCCATTGCTACACAGGTATCTCTTTCTTTATGGTTAAAAAAACAAACAAGCAAACAAACTTAATGCATGATGAGGTTCTAAAATTCTGCTTACCCCAGGGAATCTGGAGCAGGAACTCAGCGTTTCCCTGGATATGTTAAATGAAAACTAACTTTTCTTGAATTGGAAGGAAAATCAGGTCAGGTCCTATGGCATAGCAAAGGCCAGTGGCTGCGTGAAGATCCCACTGAAGACAAGCAGTCAGTAGTTCTCCAGAGATACAGAGTGTAGTAATTAGGTCATCACTGAACTGAAGCCTCTTGCCTCCCTTCACTGAAGGGCAGTTGTGTTTGGCTAGTGGCGAAGGGAAGTTCCTTTAAGGTCAAGTCCTATTCCCAACAAGGGAAATGAGGATTTGTCATTATCTTTAAGGGTAAGGTACTAATAACAATAAGGAGCATTGTTAAGAAGCACAGCAGTCTAGAAGAGGTTGGGTTTATATGACATTTCTTTGATCTCAAACTATAAATGTTGATCCAAAAGCAAAGCCAAATTTTCACTCTACCTTGCCACATTTCCATCCCCTCCAACTTAATCTCCC